CCTCTATACGACAGCCCTTAATAATGGCTGTTGGGTGTTACAAGTCAAAACACTTCAGTATTTACAGGGTTAATGATGTTTTGTTAAGTCATATGTTTGTTTGTAACCAATCTGTTTAGACAATAGGATGCCCGGGAACTTTGGAGCTAATTTGCTAGTCGGATTGGAAACCAAGGTGTCAAGTATTTAGCATATTGGTTTCTCCTCCCGTTCTTTGTTCTGACTAGAGAAGGAGACGCCATTCGTCTCTTCCCGTTTTACCTTTTAGCTGTAAGGATGTAGCCATATTAGCTCTTCGTTATTTTATATCCTGTGTACCTTTTCCCCATGTTAGGTTTATAGTAAACTTTTATATTTTAATACACACCATGGACTCCATCTCTTAATACTCTGCTGACTTACTCAATAAGAATCCCAACAATGCCCCCTGGATACAATAGGGGCCGTGGCTCAGTGGTAGAGCCTCTGCTTGGCATGCAGAAGTTCCCAGGTTCAATCCCTGGCATCTCCAGCTAAAAGGTCCAGGTCATAGGTGGTACGGAAGACCTCAGCCTGAGATGTTGGAGCGCAGCTGCCAGTCCGAGCAGTCAAGAGTGACTTCAATGGATCAAGGGTCTGATTCAGAAGGCGGCAGCTTCATACACATGTAAGCTCTGGACATGGTAAGGGGAACGCTACTACAACCATTCCGGTAACAAGGTCTCATGGAACTGCTCATCTACGCAGGAAAAGCTCCTTGCTCGTAGAAAGTTACCATGCCAAGAAGAAGGGGTGTGGCCTAACGAGCTCCCTGAGATGTTAGATTTCTATATGCAGGGGAGGGTTTAATCACAGGAGCTGTCTGGACTCAGAGCCCACAGGCTGGCCTCCTTAGCAAGAAGGCCGGGTTGCGTGGCCCCCCTCCATGCTGCAATGCCTCCCACGCTGTACTGCTCGGTGTAAAAGCCATTCGGGTTCTGCTTGTGCACCAGTTACTTAGAAAATCAAATCACTCGAGACAACTTTCTCTGAAAACTCTGCTTTATTCGTATTTTTTTTTCCCGTAAAGAGAGCAAGGGTGTTGCATTTTTAACACCCCCCCTTTTTTTTTAATGTCCAGACTTGGTACAACTTTTATTATTTTTCACAGTATTTTTGCAAAGACCGAGGACTGTTCTTATTGCTGCAATGCAAATCCAGGCACCTTTTGATGGGGAAGTGGTACGAGGGGACTCTTCCGCTCCCACCTATACCACCCCCCATCCCGCTTGTGCCCCGGTGGGTGAAAGAGCCCCCCTGTCTTCTGCATCACAAACAACCCCCTTTCTGCTGGCTCAACGGGGACTTTTGTGGACAGGTACCATACCGTCAGGTGCATTGAACCACTGAAGCCACGTGACTTCGGTCACAGTGTTGGGGTGCAAGAGATGTGCATGTCTGCCGCTGACTCGCGGCTATGGATGAGGCCCTGTCTCCTGTTCCCTTCGCCTGGCTGGAGCCAAAAATGGGCACGCTGCCATTTCAGCCGGTCTCTTTCAGCTGGTTGTCCCTTTCTACAGCCTTCTAACTGGTTCCCAACAGCAACCCTAAAGGAACAACTGCAGGAAGCCCTTGATTTCTGTAAAGCATCGTAGAGAGAGCCGAGGAGGTTTCCCCTCTGGTGAGTTACTCTGCTGCGTGCCCGCGGAGGGTCCTGGGTGCGAGAACCGCTACCAGCCCTGCTTCCTTGGTCATGCTTTCGGTACGGGAAATGTCCCCGATAAGGGGACAAACCCTTGCCCGGCTGAATTCGCCCAGTTGGCTCCAGGGAAGGGAACACATCCGGAGCATCAGGGCTCTCCGGGAGTTGCTGGGGGAGGGCGAAAAAATAGTCAAGATTGGCGATAGCAGGTTGGAGGCCAGTCCGATGCCCGCGGATTCAGAGCAGCTGTTTCGAAGGGCTGGAGGGAGGGAGATCGGGCGTGGCCGCGAGTCAAGACAACCGCGTCGCTGGACGATTCTGGTTTTGCAGTCCTCCTGATATTATTTAAGAGCACACCAGCTTGTCCCCCTGCAATGGCTGGAAGGGGGGGTGTAGGGGGCAAGAGAAGCTTCAGCACTGGACATGCACAGCCTAGAAGGCCTTTAAAAATGGAGGGGGGGGCAGAGATTCACAGTGATGTAGCATTGCTGGGCTGGGGGGGATTCTTGCTGGTGTGCACTGGGGGGGTTCCCTCCCCCCCGTTTGTTAAAAGGCTACAAGGGTGCACCCACGCTTCAGCAGGGAGCGCGGAGCCCCAAAATAAACTCCCATCCTATCGGCAATTAAAAAGATGTCCAAAGGGATGTGGGGCAGGGTTGACGGTTTTTGACGGGGCCCAGAATTGCCCTGCTGGGTCAGGCCAGACTCCAGCATTCAGATTCCAGAGACTGGGGACGAAGAACAGGGGGACAGCGCCTGCATTCTGGCCCGGCTTCTGGGATTCCGGCCGCACCTGCATGTCCGCTGTTGGAAACAGGATACTGGGCTGTGGTCGTGTCGAAAAACAACCGAGGGCCACTGGCTCTGCACGTGAATCCAAAGCCGCCCTCTTCCCCCAGGCAAAAACCTGCTCCATTCCTGCATCTCATCCACACCACCATCCCCAAAGATTTTCCTTCCAGCCCCTGAATCTGACCCCACTATCTTGGCACAGCCCGCTCGGATTCTTGAGCGGAGCTGCCCGGCACGGTTCAGCCCCTGAGAGTCTGCATGGAAGCCGCAGGTCTCCTGTGCGTGTTTCATGGTACGAGAGTAAGGCCTCTTGTGCCAGTCCTTTCCTTCCGTTGCCCATTTTTCCGTCGGATCTGACCCGTCCATCCCAAAAGCAGCAGAACGAGGAACCCCATTTCATGGAAAGACCTTAAGGAGGAGTCCGTATTTGTCAATCCGGAAACAGAATGAACAGAAAGCGATTCCTAGAAATAAGAACGCCGCGATCAGCCTTCTCTCCAAATGCTAGTCCCTGATCGGCTTAAAAGAAGGATCCTGTCCAACTTTTTTTTGGATATTCTCAACATAAAGTGCAGGGACAGTGCCACATATTTTGGCTGGCGCACCTTTGCAGGGTTGTTTGGTGCTAAGATGCACAGCGGTGTAATTTCATAGGCCAGGTTACGGGACCTACAGAAGCCTGGTACTCAGCTGATCGAGGACAGACTCTGGGGCTGACTGATAAGACTGTAAAAATTACAGACAGGTTGGATCCATTTCCTCTGTAGTATATTCCGGGGGTGCCGAAGTGACTCGGTGGGCTGTTAAAACTCGTGGCTAGGTTACAATTCTCCACGTCCCGAAAGCCCTCCAAAAATAGGTTTGATAGGACAGAGCAGATGGCCAAAGTGTTCCGCCTTTCCACCTACACTTTCCAACTCCGATAGTACTCCCGTTTTAACTCCATGGGTGATTTCCCACAAGCGCCGCTCTGCGCTCACTCCTCCCTTTTGCCCGGATGGTACGTGTCAATTTCACACAAGCTGCTGCATGTCAATTTCACACAAGCTGCTGCGCAGCAGCTTGTGTGAAATTGACACATACCATCCGGCCAAAGAGAAGAGCGAGCGCGAAGCAGCGCTTGTGGGAAGTCAAATGCTTCGCTTCTGCCCTGTTTGCACAAGTCGCTTCAATCAGGAATAGACGACTCTCATTCTTTTCTGCTTTGCCCCTACTGGGGGGGTGGAGGGGGTTAATGGCTATCTTTTATTCCCTCGCATTAAAATATGAAGTGTCTAGGAAGTGGATTTTGAAACGGACCCTCTAACAAAACCTTTCCCAGCTCCCACAAGGCAAAAGAGTGGTAAGCCCCTTCCTGATCCTTAGTGGTAATTCAGCACCGAATTACCCTAATCAAGTGCAAAACCCTAAACTGCAGAGTGGCAGCCATTCCAGCAATCAACCAGTGGTAAACCGCCACTGCGGACGCACATGTATTCTAGACGACTAGAATACATTTTCCCATTTGAAGGAGCGTACGAAGTTTTCTCGTTCGAAGAAGGAAGGCGGGCCCCACCTCAAACGGCCCAATCCCCAAAGATCCCGATCAGTGTCATTCATTGCCCCATCATTTCTATGGAAAGAAGAATGTTGCGTTTTGGTGAGTGCAAGGAAGAAACCCATGTGCTAACCAGGGGGTGTATTCTAGTGCCTTCATATTAACTCCCCTCCTTTTAAAACCGTATTTTTGTCATCACCCCTGCTTTGAAATGGATCCTTCTAAACATAAAAGTGCTGGGTTGTTGTTGGTTTTTTTGTTTCTCTCAAGTGACAAGAAGGCCTCCCAATGAAACATCACTTCCTCCTCTGCAGGGGACAGCCCACCGCTTTCTGTCTAGCAGCTGTGTGTCAAAATGGGCCGTCCAGGGAGGGAGGCCTGTGAAGTAAACATTCTTGCACGAGGGGAAGCAGCTGCCCATCGAAAGGATTGAAAACATATCGGTCCCCTCTATCCCGATCTCTTGGGGAGACTCCGTGACTTAACAGTACCATTTTTCCCCTCCCAGGTAGGCTCTTTATGTCTTTCTGCATCTGCAGACAGGCAAAAATTCAGCAGGTGCCGCTCCTTCAGTCACCACTTCTCCACAATAAGCTGTACCAGGGGAGTTTTAGCTTGTTGTGCAGTTGCATAACATGGGGGAGGGGGGCACGACTAGCAAACCTTATTTAGGGAAGCTGGCTGTGATAAACTGTGAGAATCCCTCGCGCTCAGACCAAAGCATCCCACTTTCTACGACCCAGTAAGGAGAAGACTGGTTTGCTTGCTATCTCTCTCCCCCCCCCTTCTTCTGTTTAAATGCAGCTTAAGGCAAAAGTTTGGCAATGCAAAGCAAAATCTACATAAGGCCGCGTGACTTGGGTATGCAATTTGGAACATTTTTTTCATCAATTAAACAGAGAGAGAGAGAGAAATAAAAAGAGAATAACCAACATTGTCGTTCCAGGAACTCCTCATTCCCCCTCCCTTCCCCAACCAATAAATTTCTTTTTTTCTCTCTTCTGCTCCTAACTTAAAATAAAATTTCCCACATCTCTCTGTCTCTCTCTCTGTCTCTCTCTCATGACCCAAACTAAGTTAAATGAGATTAAACATCAAACAACCACCGAAGGAAGAAAAAGAAACTTTTACAGAGCTGGGAATAAGTGCGTCGTGTGTTCCCACCCTTAGAAATTCCGATGATGTTGGATGACCCCGCCCCCCTCGCACCCTTACAATCGGAGGGGAGTCCCTTCCTTGGCGCTTCTGTAGCACAGTGAGATCCGTTCCGATGGGAGAAGGTAGAATGGTTGCATTTTGTTTTCTCTTTGTCAAATGAATAAAAAAGTGCATCTCTGTTTTTACTTAAATATATGTTTTCTTAAACGCTAAGTGGCTTTTCTCCTCCTCTGTCCCCCTCGCCGTTCCGTGCCGCGGGGACACTTGAGTTCTCATTACCGATACTTTGGAGGTATCACCACTAGAGGCGGCCCGTCGGTGGGCCTCCACATAAGTACCTGGGCATCGTTGGCATTGGGCTTCACAAGGGCACTCGTTGGTATTGGCTCGTTCTTATTGAGGATCTGCGGCTGCTCTTGAGCAGAGGGCTCCCGCAGCTTGGCACGCTGTCCCAGGGGTTTGCAGGGGGTTACTTCGATGCCCAGTTTCATGCGCCACTTGATGGTCTGCAGGGTCACCATCTCGCTGGTGGTCGTGTTGGTGGCCACCAGCCACGTGGTGAAGCTCTGATCCCGGTGGATGTGGGTGAGCTTGGCCACGCTGCTCTCGCTCACCGGCACCGCCCACGTGACGCTGGGGTAGAAATTGTCGTTCATGCTAACGCTGAACTTGGCTTCCTTCTTCGTGGGGCCAATGATGGTGCAGGTTTCCGTGGTGTTCCCGTACCACGGGTAGTTTACACCGTCAGAGTCGCTGATCGCTTGGATTTTGCCTTCCAGGAGATCCGGTAATTCCCAGCTGGACCTGCATCGGAGAAGGAGAAAGAGCAAGAGAAAGAGAGGATTGCTTTTCGGTGGGCAGCAGGACGGGCTGAAGAAGCTCTTGGATGCCACATACAGGGCTGCATCGCTCAGTTAAGCGGTCAGAAGGACTGGTGTTTGACCCCGGCTGATTAACTGAGCAGCGCATTTTATCAAGAAAAAGCTAACCCCTCCCAATGTTCACATAGGCATGTGTTATTTATTATTTATTTATTAGTTATGTTTATATCCCGCCCTCCTCACGGACGGGCTCAGGGTGGCTCACATTTGCCGGCGTAATATAGCCGCTTAGCATAAAACATTTAAAACATCATCTTTCCCAAGCCGGTGGCACTTCAGGAGGCCTCAGCCACCACTGTGACTGGCTCTGACTACTGTACAATGTCCCTTGCACACAGATAAGCATTGGGTCTAGGCAGGGGTCATTCCCTGCAGGAGTGCACAGGAGCGGAGCTCCGGCAGTAAAGAGCCCAGGGGGCGGGCACATGCAACAAGCCCCGCCCCCTGCTCCCAGCAGCCCTCAGTCAGAGCAAGAAGCAGCCAGGTAAGTTGCAGAGCTCCCCACCCCACCCCCCTGGTCCAAAACAGTCCAGTGGCACCTTTAAGACCAAGTTTTATTCAGGTACAAGCTCTCCCTCCTCTGCGAGGGACAGATCTGCATGTTCCCCCCCCCAACAGCTAGCAATCCAAAACAGTCCAGTGGAGCCTGAGCCTTCTGACACACTTCCGGTGATGTCAGGGGGTGTGGCATATGCAAATAAGTTATGCTAATGAGTTATGCTAATGAGCTCCGGCGCCTCTTTTTCTACGAAATGACCCCTGGGCCTAGGAGCTTTTCCTCTTAGCGTGCTCGTTTTCTTCACAGAGGGAGTTTCGGTGTCAGAGCCTGCTTTAGATACCAGGCCTTTTACAAGTTCAGCGCACAACTCAACTGTTGGGTATTGCATGTTGAAAACACTCAATGTGTATGTATGGGGTTAAATGTCTGTTTTGTTGTCACAGGAAATCACCTGCCTTTGTGTTAGCCAATGTTAGCTTAGAGCTGCAAGCCCGCGAAAAGCATCCTGAGAGTTTGATTGGGAGCAAAGTGTTAGTGTCTTTGCATTTTATGGCCTCTCTTCCTCTCTTTGTTCTGTCTGAAGAAGAAGCATGTTGGAGAGAAGCCATTGCTCTCTTCTAGTCTGTCCTTTGTAGAGGGAAGATGTAGCTTATATAGCTCTGTTGTTATTTTCTCCCAGTTACCCTTCCCTATGGTAGAATTGTAGTAAAGCTTTTATATTTTTAAACACACATGGACTCTGAGTCTGATTATTAAACTCTGGCATCACTAAGGTGATTTTTAACTCTGCTGAACTTTATAAAAACTCCAACATCAACGCAACTGGCTAGCAAAATGCGGGGAGCTGCGGTGGCCGTCCAGCTCCCAAGCCGCGACAACCTGCGAGATGAGTTCGATCCCTGCCAAGCAACGGACCGTCGCCCCCAAGAAGGAGCCTGGCCCCAGATAATCACAAGGGACACTAAAGATTAACTGAGAGCCGGCCGTCTTAAGAGAGAACCTGGCAAATCTGCGTTGTTCCGTCACGCTGCAGTCTTTCTCTTGAACTTCCAGCCGAGACCACTTCAGGGACACGGCTGAATGAATGTGTGATCTCTGCCTTTCCCACGGAAGGTTCACAAGATTTGCCCTCAGCTGGGAGGGCAGTCCTCTGAGCCTTTCAAGGCAGGCACAGAACAGCCGAGACCAGGGGTCGTTTCGTAGAAAAAGAGCTAGGGGAACTCATTAGCATAACTCATTAGCATATGCCACACCCCCTGACATCACCGGAAGTGTGTCATAAATACTTGCAGAGTCAACCCCGCTTAGCTTCCAAGATCTTACAGTTCTTGAGCTGATGGGGACCTCTGGACAACCTGGACAGGTGGCTAGTCTAAGTGAACTATAGTAAAGGTAAAGGTTTCCCTTGCTCGAAAGCCAGTCGAATCCGACTCTAGGGTTGGGGTGCTCATCTCCGTTTCTGAACTGAAGCGCCAGCACTGTCCGAAGACGTTTCCGGGGTCATGTGGCCGGCATGACTAAACACCAAGGCGCACGGAATGCTGTTACCTTCCCACCGAGGTGGTCCCTATGTATCTACTTGCAATTTCTTGCTTTCGAACTGCTAGGTTGGCAGGAGCTGGAACTAGAGACGGGAGCTCACTCCGTCCTGCGGCACTCGGGTCTCGAACTGCTGAACTACCAACCTTCCACAGCCTGCAGTTCAGCGTCTTTGCATTTTGCCAGCAGACTGAGCGTTGGGAAGAGGCAAATTTTCCCGCACCAGATACATGCGTTGGAGCAAAGATGCACAGCTGCCCCCCCCCCCGCACATGAACACATCAAACTGACATATACTGAATCAGGTCCATCAAAGTCAGTCTTGTCTTCTCAGACCGGCAGTGGCTCTCCAGGGTCTCAGGCAGAGGTCTTTCTCATCACCTACTGCTCAATCTTTTCATTGGAGATTCTGGGGATTGAACCTGGGACCTTCTGCATGCCAAACAGAGCCACAGCCCCTCCCAAACAACAAATGACAGCACATCAAACATGCGCAAGGGGTGACGCGGAAGATGTGGGCTGCCTCCGAGGGCAGCGGAGGGGGGGGGAACGCGCTGACAGTGTTCCCTCTAAGCTGAGTTGTTGTTTTTTTAAAGTAAATTTTATTAACATTTTGTATACAAGTCAACAAATCCAATAGGAAGGTCAAAATACAAACATAGCTGTTACCAACCTTAACCAACAATGTTACAGAACAGAGTAGTCATTATACAGTGTTTATGTCAATTATACAATAATAGATTATATTTAACTTTGCTAATAGTTAAATATAATATTTTAGTAATTGCCGCAAAGATCTCTCTGGCAAGTAAATGGAAAACAGGCTCTCTCCCGACCATGCAGCAATAGCTGCATAAAGTGTGGGATTTCTTTCTTCAGGAGAAAGCATCTATATGGCTAAGTAATAAAGACGCTGAACGTCACTTACTAAACCCTTTAGACAAATGGGCTCCAATTATTGATAAAATGAATTTGGATAAGTTCGATTGGGAACACATAAAGTCACCGAAATTTAAGATGCTTGTCTTAGGATGAGAGTTTGTTACCTGTGTTTTTAGCATTTGAAGTTTAGTTAGACATAATGGGTTGCGCAGCCTTTTAACTTGAGAGGGCCCTCAGTGTCATCAACTGAATAACATCTATTTTTGGTTTTTCTGTAGTTTTGTTTTTTTACTCTGCGTGCTTAATCAATTTTATCGAAAATTTAATGTTATTTCTTTGTACGTAATGTATCACGAAGAATTCGCATTCTGTTTGAGTTTCCGAGTAAAATGTGTTAACATTTTCTAATAGAAATAGGTCCCACACCTTATGTAGGCTCATTTTTTTTTAGCCTCCAGCTCACGCATTTTTGTCTTAGCTGAGGAAGGAGGGCTCCAGAGCAAACGAAGTTATGCAGCCCCCAAAATCGCTCCCTCACTGAAACTTTAATGCCGGTAGCTCACAAAGCAGAATTTTTGCTCGCAAGGCTCCACAGCTTAGAGGGAGCATTGGACACAGTCCACGGTGGACTCTGCCCGCCTCAACAGACCACCTGCATAAGCCTCAGTGCAATGGCTGGGAGGCACCACAAGAGCAGAGCGGTTTGTGCTGCCGGTTAACTTGGGGGGGGGGGGGAGAATGGCACCTGCTGGGACTTCCCTCGTTCTGCGAACTTCCTGGGTGCTGCTATGGGGGGGAGGAAGAGAGCCACACAGCTGCATAGGAAAGCCGAGGAGGCCGTAAAAGCAGATGGCAGGAGACTGACAGGAAATGTTCCAGCGCATACATCTGTGGGGAGGAAGTCTGCACAACCCCCGGCCTCCTCGCTCTAGTGACACATGCTTTCGCCCTGGCTTTCACAAGCAATTAAATCCGCCTACAGGTCTTCAGCATAGAACGGGGCTTCACGGGCCCTTTTTTTACGGCTGACGAGGAGCCTCGCTTGGCCCACGGTCCGCGCCCCTTCCGTTGCTTTTGACGTGACCTGATGGCGGAATCCTACACATGCACGCACACACTGTCAGAAGGGACGGTGAGGGGTTCGATCCTGCACCCGGTCCAGAACGAGGGCCTTCCAAGGCAGCCTCCCCGTCGAGCTCTGCTTTGCAAACCGCGACGCAACACAACTTCTGTGCCTCTTGCGCAAACTGTACGGAAACGGCCCCGGTCAACAGATGAGACACAGCTCGGAGGCACGACGCCAGCTTTGCATGCAAAGGGTCCCTGGTTCCGTCCCCAGCATCTTGGGCAGCACAGCTGGGGAAGGCTTCTTTGGAAGGCCACGGACAATTCACAGCTCGGTGTACGCGGCTCTGTAGGATGGCTTCTCACAGCCGAGTATGTAAAGAACCACAACATTACAATTCCATCCCCCCCCCCACACACACACACCACAACTTTTACCCTGAATCGAGGGCATCACATTCTGAGCCAGTGCAATTCCTTATTTGGATCAGGGGGGTTGGAGACTCTTTACAAGGAAAGGCTGCGGTAATAGGGGAACGTTTGGCCGGTGGAAAAGGAGGCTGAGCAGGGGTACGATTCTTCTTTTTAAGTATTTGAATGGCTGTCATTTCGAAGAGGGCAAGAAGCCGTGGAAGATTAAATGTCGGAAGCAGGGGTCATTTTGTTGAAAAAGAGGTGCACGAGCTTATTAGCATAACTAACTCATTAGCACAACTTATTTACATGTGCCACACCCCCTGACGTCACCGGAAGTGTGTCAGAAGGCAACACCCACCGCTCAGGCTCCCCTGGACTGTTTGGGATTGCTAGCTATTGGGGGGGGGCACACGCAGATCTGTCCTTGCAGAGGAGGGAGAGCTTGTACCTGAATAAACCTTGGCCTTAAAGGTGCCACTGGTCTGTTTTGGACCAGGGAGCTGGGGGGAGGGGCTCTGCAA